GTTGGTAGCAGTTGCTCGCAGCATACACAAGTTTGTAATTCCAAGCAACTGTAAGTAAACATTTTATTCTTTCTCCTACAAATGTCTCAGAGTGAGTTCTTGAGATTTTAAGTGGCAGTTAATGAGAAAGGAGTGGTCTCTGGGGATTTTCTAGCTATTCTCCTCCATGGGTCTCTGTATTTCTGCTGTGTAGCAAAAAGAGAATTTTATCTGCTACAGATCAAACATAGAAATTATATATGTGTGTGAATATGCTATTACATCTGCTAATAAACACTAATGGATACGAATTCGCAAGATTACAGCTGATTGAGAGGACCACTTCCACCCACCCACACTCCATTGAATTTTGAAGTTCCTGTATAGGAACACTAAAGAGCTATGCCTTTTTCTTCATTGTTTTCTGAGCAGCTTCTGAGGCTTTGATGGTCATTTTTATTTGTCCCCAGCTACTGGAGCATCATAGCTGGTATGGCAGCCCCATGCCCTTAGAACCCCAATTTTTTTACCCCAAATTGCAAATGACACTTCAGACACCTCTGAAAGGCAGTGCAATTTGCCACACAAATGCAACTTTAGTCCACACAGGCCTTTTTAAAGCCTTAAATAGCATTCTGTAAAAAGAGGAAGAGACTTCCTGTTTTCCTGAGGGAGTCTGTGCAAGTTTCCTGTTGATTGGTAGCATTTAATCCCAGCTTTAATGGCCACTGTGTCCCCCTCACCCCCAGTTCAGAAACAGTGTATTTCCTCAGCACAGTGGACTACAGCTCCCAGCATTAATAACTACTGACTCTGCTGGCTAGAAATGATGGGTGTTGCAGTCCAACAATATTTGAAGGGCTTTGCCTATCCCTGCCTTAGAAGGAAACCAAAAAGCAGTTATGCTTGACATCTCAAAGCAATATCTGAAATGAAGTGTGACTGTTCAGTTCAGTGCAGCTAATTGAATGATGTTGTTGATAAGCTTATTGCAAGAAAAGCAGAATTATTTTCAAATACTGGCTGAAATCCAGTACTGATCTGTTGCAACTGAATCAGTGAAACTTACAGAGTTGATTCACCAAATCCTTAGTGATTCAATAGGCCTACTCTAGTGGTCACTTACTCTTAGATTTTTGTCATTATGCATGACCTGAGCAGAAGTCAGTAATAGTTAATGGATACAGAAACTTATGCCACAGTATATCTTTTAGGATCCAGTTTTACAGGTTGTTTCTTCAACAAGAAACAACCTGTAAAACAGGATCCTAAAAGATAGGTATTTGACAGTGGGCACACTTAACTAAAGTAGGAGTATTAGTATTTGTATTGGTGACCCTCATGTATTCTGTCCAAATTACTCTCTACACATATAGCTATTTACTACAATTTACTCTTGTCACGGTAATCCTATCTCCCCGTGTTGTATGAATTAGCAAGCATTTTTCCTAGGCTGCCTGGAATAGGCATTTGCTGGATAGCACATAAAGGGGATTGTAAAAGCTATCTTAAGCATGTGCATTGAAAATTTGCATTTCTATCATGAGATGCCTAACATGCAATTTGCAATGCCGGAAACTTCAGAGGTTTCTGCAATGCTCCAGGGCTAAAAACCAATCTGACCCAGTACAGGCAGATCACATCAAGACACATTTGGCACTGTGCCTCTACACATTTGTTGGCACATCTACAAACTAGAATGAGAAGTGCCTGGGGCAATTTTTTTTATTTTTTGAAGAATGAATATGCTACATCCCCATCCCCAAATAAACCTAAGGGAATATATTTAAGGAAGCTTTCTTTGGCTAGTAAGGAGTATAACCATCTGGAATGTCAACTATCCACATTTAAAGGGATGCCATTTTGTTACTGCATCTGATTTTACAAATTTAGCCTTATCGCACTTCTTGAGGGGCATTTGAAAAAGGCCTCCCCTTGAGAATTCACACAATTACGATATATGTACAGTTCCAGTAAACTTCTGCTCAGATCCATAACATGTGTGTTGCAAGGTCTTGCAATCTACCATCTTGTTCTGTCTGCTTTTCAGATCTATGAGGCTGCTGGGAGAGATAAACCAGGGATTTGAGATGAAGTATCATCAATGGCCCCTTCACAGATTGCTGCCTTGTCGTGGCGAAGGGGCTTGAGTAATTCAGAGAAGCTATGGGCTATGCAGTGCAGGGACGCCCAAGACGGATAGGTCATAGTGGAGAGTTCTGAGTAAACGGGATCCACCTGGAGCAGGAACTGGCAAGCCACTCCAGTATCTTTGCCAAGAAAACTGCATGGACAGAGTCACCGAAATGATTGGACAGTGTCACCGAAGCTACTAACATGAATTTGAGCCAACTCTGGGAGGCAGTGGAAGATAGAAGGGCCTGGCGTGCTCTGGTCCATGGGGTCACAAAGAGTTGGACATGACTTAACAACTAAACAGCAACAGCATAAGGCCATCAAGTCCAGACTCCTGTTCAATGCAGGAATCCATATCAAGCAGATTTGAGTGAATCTCTTTTGGGAAGGGAAGGGCTGGTATCCCTCAAAAGTCCACACAATCTCTTTTTGTTCTCCCGACTTAACAACTAAACAACAACAAAAGATAAGCCCCTCAGGTCGGAAGGCATCCAACATGCTACTGAGGAAGAGTGGAAGACAAGTACAAGTA